GAATCATTAGTGTTCCGAAGGAATGGCTGTCATCTCTCAGTGAACTCGGTGGTTTTCCTGATGGGATTTGATTGCCGAACTATGCCACCTGACACCAGGCCCCTCCCGGCCAAATTGATGCCATCATACACTAACTAAGATGCGAAGTTTTTAGTGATTTCTTCCCGGTACTATTTTACTTGAACTACTACATCAACTACATCCAGCATTCGCCGCATTACTAGTAATAGCAACTCTCGGCAGAAGTTCCCCCGGTGGAGATCTCACTCTTTCACCAGGCTCTTCCCACCCAACTAACAGAATTGTTCATTGCATGACTGACTGATTCGTCACGTATGATTGTGTGCGCGCCTTTCGAAGAAAAACAGCTATTAAGCAGCTCGGAACGATGGCTGGCCGGATGGAGGGCCGCCGGACAGCAGCAAGGGCACTGGCAGTGAAGTTAATCAAGATAAAGCACAGAAAAGAGAAGACACACACACAATACCTACCGTAACCGTATCCGTTTCACATTGACATTCCTTTGGACAGTTGGCGAATACGGTATCAACGTAAAGCAGGCAGAATAGAATCATTCGAAAAATCATATCAACAAGAGCCGCATTAAGTGACGGCTGTGAAGATGAACGATGACCGTACTCTTATCGTTGACGATCCATTTCTGAAAGCTGTAGACGTTTTCGTTAAGGAAAGACTCTAACAAGAAGATTTTGGACGAGTTTTCGTATAGCATCTATACCAACAAGAAATATTCAACAATTATGGGCAGAAACGAAACTTTGAATATTCGACAGAAGGAAACAACACCGCGAAAAGATCAATTAATGAAGCCGTTATAAAGATAAATAAGCAAGTAAATAAATAGAAAGAGCGGAGGGTGCAGGCTGGTCACATAGCAATTTTCCGATGAGTAAATTCGAACAGTTTTCAGGGTTTCAGACGTCCTAAAACCCATCACGGACCGGATAGCACCGTCAAGAACAGTGGTACGCTCCGCGACCGCCCGCGTCTGCTATAGGTGATCGCAGGCAAGGATGAGAATTGAGCTTTTCACTAAGTTGAAACATTTTACGGCACATAGGGAGCTAATTTGCACAAATTTTCTAACGTCTCCGTTTTTTTGTCAATCCGCTCTGGTATAACAACTGATGAATGGACCGCTTCCTGATAAACATCGTCTTCACACAATCAGGCCCTATTCAGAGCATTTTTCCCCGGCCCAAAGAAATAAAAACTATGTGGGAGGGAGGAGGAGGAGAGATGGAAGGGATTCCAAGTTAATTTATTTTGGAAGTATAAGTAAGAGTGCTATAGAACTTGTAAGATGGCATTTGGAATGTTTGGGGTGCGCCACACACATCTCTCCACATCGGTTACTCTATCGACTTGATACGGGGATTGGAGAACATATTATCCCGAGGAGATAATAACGATCAACATATTGGTACATTCAGATTATCCTCCAAAGTAACAGCCCCGACTGGTCTCACCTTCTTCCCAGGCTACGTTTACGAAAGCGGCCCCATTAATCAACAGCCACACCTCTGCTGTAACTATAAACTCCCCATTATTCATGTTGATCTTATAGTTAGAATTGATTTGAATTTAATTGAGAATGAGTGGGTTTTTAGCGATGAATTCAAGAAATTTGTATTTACCTCATAACATAATCTGTACCTTTGTTTTTTATTATGTTTTCCTAGAGGTTTACTCACTAGTTGATAGAAAGTAATGCTGAGTGATTACCAGGATGTATTTCGAGCAGCAACGTAACGTATGAATGGTTAAGATGTCAAAGCAGCGCCGGGTAAAAAATGAAAAGCTCATTTTCTCAGTAGAAAACGGTCCACCACTCTTTGGACGCTGTTATGTGATTAGCGACACAGATAAAGAGAGTCGACGGTGTTCATTAGAAAAAGTCCTAAAGCCGAAATGTAAACTAGCAAAGTACTCTCCGTCATCTCTACTCAGCCCCCTTGAGGACTACAAGAGGAAAGGATTGTACTCTCCAATCGAAGTGAGAGGTGGATGGAAGTGTTTTTCCAAAATTCAACGGACACCATCACCTCATCGGACATTTCGATACACGATCCAAGTAGTTCTAAAGCCAAGTTTGAGTTTGTATATCGTTGGTACTTTAGGTGCTGTAGGTCCTTATTTGGAAGGCTTTCATTGCATTGCTTTGGGTCGATCGTTTCAGGCTGTGATTTAAGACTCAGAATTCGCAGAAAGATGAAAAGGAGGGTCTTTGATCAGGCGACTCCGTCTTATTCATGAAAGTAAATAAAGGAAGGGTAATACAAGGGCAAACGATTATACTCGGAGTAACGAAGCGCATTCAAAAGTCTGACTTTATCGGCTTTCCCATCGATCCCCAGATTTCATTTAATTATGCATCTAATTATAACAGCACCGACTGATTTTTTCCTCGAATGAAGCACACTTGTGTAAGCTTGAGATATGCGAGTTTTCTAAGGCTACTTTAAATGAAAAAACACAAAAATGAGGATAGTGTCAGGAGCCTTTCAGCTTAGTGGCAAGTGGCGCACTTCACACACGCGTACGGTCACGGGTTGGAATCCCGGGTTGATGCCCGCTCAAGCCAACCAAGCCTTTCTTTCCTTGGGAGTCGAATAATTGCTACCAAACTCGTCTGGGAGGATGAAAGCACTGACAACACTGGCTTGTTCATCGGCTGGCGGAGGCAATTCATTGTATAGGTCACAAATCATACAAAACGCCATTACGATTCTGATCGGTATCGAATGCATGGCTCATCTCCGAGGGGAGATTTAATAGAACCGGAGTCTCCCAGTAGGCAAGTGTTTTCCAGTAATGCAGCAGATCTCGTAGATTTTCCAAAAGGTCTTTGGGAGAACTGTCCAGGCGAGTCACAGTTATTCAATTTAGAAACACCTATTTGACGACAGGAAAAGTATAAATC